CTCGGAAGAAAAAAGTGCGATTGGAAACTCGTATGCAAAAGCAATGACCATTTTCCTAAATCGCGTTGCATACGTGGTCGGTGTTTCGGCTGCCTAATATTGTTGATACTGATAACGCTCAAAATACGTGCCAGTAACACCACCCTTATCGGCGTCTACGGCAGGGAGTCGTTCCTTAGCAGCTCTGCTTGAGTAACAGACACGTTTATGTATATTATCCCGTTGGCTAGTGCAAAGACAGCGTTCTTGGCTGAGTAAAGATTGCCTTTCACGCACTTCGATTTGCGAACTGTCAGACGTCCCCATCGTGACCAATCAGTGCCAAGATTTCTGACTTCCCATCGTTGCCTTCGCGTCCCCAAAAAATTGCGTGAGCGTCTCCAGAAAGTTCTTGCGTCTCTTAAAGAAGGAAAGCAATGATGCCGACCAAGTATGCACTGAGATTTAGGAATCGTTTCTTGGCTTTGCGTTGTTCTCGATCGCCCAGTATACCTGCTAGGCTGTACCTTTTTTCTTAAATAAATCTCAACGCTTCAAAGGAGCTTTGTCTCTTCTATTAAAATAAACATTTTATTCATTTCCTTCCTAATACATGTAGAATTTATTGCGTGGTGGTCGTGCGAAAAATCACATGTTGGATGCACTTCCAAAACCGAAACAAGAATAGCACTAAAACAGACTACTTTTGTATTAAAGCATGTGCAGAAGCATGTGTAGCATGTGTATTAAGCACGTAGCAGGGCCAATGTTGCCACAAAATTCTGTCGCCGAATATAGTGATTATGTACATTTCAACTTCATTTCTAGCCCATCTTCCTATGTCTGACGCTTAAGGCTTGTGTTGGTTTATGTTTTCTGCATGGGGCGTCTTGTGTTCTCGAGCTGCAATATCAACCCTTTCGCCGCCATTCACGAATGCAGTCTTTATGATATCTTGTAGCAATATGTCCGATGATGACGCCTGTTGTCATAAACAAAAATTGATGCCACACGGAAGCCATGCAAACTAAGCTTGTTGTATGTTTGTTTCTTGATTTCACGTGTGAAAAAAAGACGATGTAATGGCGATTTATTTGAATGACTTGTACAACAGCCTTCTTCCAAGGTTCTTCAACCAACGTTTCACTCTTTTATGTGCCATTGAGGATGAATAGTCGCTGACTTCAACTAGCTAAATCACTCCACGAATGGCTGATGTTCACGGCTTAGGTATCTGTTGGTTAATTATAACTACTACTTACTTAATCTCAGCTGATCTTGCCTTGTATTCGCAGCTGTAAACTTCTACTTCACATTTTGGTTTTCTACCGAAATTTCACTAGTGAGAAACCTTCAATTGAAATCTTCAGAAGAAATCTTCAATAGGACTCATGTCCAGGTTTTCTTCTTCTTCTTGGTTAAATGCGAAAAACAAAACCGTTACTCTATTGGTCATTTCTTTGCAGCGTAGTGAAGTAATCGAGCTTTTCAGATCCACCATCTGATCCACATCATGTTTCGGATCCAAGGTACGAAGTAGGACACCCTGGTATGCACATTAGGATGGCCGTCTTCGCTGCAGCCCACTGAGAAAGAGATGATTCCCACTTGAAAGAACTTGCGACGACCCTTTCTCCAGATAAACACTGGGCCTCCAGAGTCACCCTGCATGGGTGTGAGATGGGAGGAGGAGACAAGAGGAAATCACGTGTGGGTGAGGAGTATGATTATTACTGTGTGTTTTAATGCTGAATAACTTATAGAATCTTGCCCCGCAAGCATGTTTGAAACTGATACAGGCTGCGTTGTTCTCAACTTAAACTGTGGGCGACGCACCTAGCGATGGAAAGCAAAATGATACGTGTAACTTTAGGTGACAGGAAAAGAGCACAGTGGGCCAAGAAACAGAAGAGCGTTTGCGGTATCACAGTTGAAATAGAGATCAAATGGACATGGGCAGAGAACGTAGCCCATAAGAAGGATAACCAGCCGTCATTCAGAATAACTGATTGCACTCCCAAGAAGTCAAACGCACAGCAGAGAAAAAGAAAATTAGGTGGGCAGAAGAGATTTAGTTTCCAGGTATAACGTGGCAGTGTTGTGAATCTGGGGTCTATTCGACGCGTCCCCGCTGACCTGGGTTGCCGAGAAGTCATGGTTACATAGTGCCCGGACTGCTGCGGTAGCATGGAGTGCCTTTGGATAGAGAAAACATTGCTGACAAGTTGAAGAAAACGAAAACAAACAGATTTACTGGCCGTGTGGAGCTATTCACAGCATAAAAGGTTAGAGTTCCGCAAAGCACCAGCGTGGGGATTGAACCATTAAAATGACATTCAGAGCGTCTTCCTGCACTCCAAAACGTTGTTTTAAGTTCTTTCAAGCTTGTCCTGCTTGATTAAAAAACAAACGCACTCATGAGCCCACCCACCCTGGCATCAACCAATGACACATGGCTGCCGAATAGTCATTGCACTTGCTGACGCAATGTTCCTCCTGTCAATTTCACTGAAGAGAAGAGAAGTGGGTTCCGTAACGAAGCAAGTGGGTGGCCGAGTAGGCTACTGCCATTTCTCTTTAACGTAGCTTATGGCACCAAAAAAAAAACAGAACAGGAGGACAAGCGCTTTTCGTCAAGAATGAACCGACTCGCCCAACAAGTCACTCTGCTGCTGTCTCTCACTAGATGACAGCAAAGGAATAAGTGACCCATTGGGATTTTTTTTTTCGACCTACGAGATCGGTTGGCCGCGTGGCCTCCCCAAACAAGCACTTCTAGAGAAAATTCCCGAAGCGACGTTCGCTCATACTTCGTAAACGTTGCCACAGTCTTATCCCTTAGCTTCTCGCCGCTCGACGCTCGTTCCGTATGAAAAGCGCTGGGGTTTTAGGTCACGGGAACGCATCCCGGCTATGCTTCTCATTGATAGCTTTGCGCCCACGAACGAGAGTCACAACAGCAGCAAAAAGCACAGGTCTGGGTGATTCGCTAAACATAGTGAAGGCCTTTGCCGTGAAGTGAACATAATCAGGCCAGGGATAACGACGATAGGTCCAAGTGTATGTTTCTTTACCTGGAGCCTAATGAATGAGGAGTTTGTGCCAACCTTTCGATAGTTGGGGTGGTACTTATCAATGTCATGGTGAATATCTCTCAATGGTCCACGCTCTGGTTACCGTTACGGTGATCTCTTCTAAAAAAAGTGTTTATCACTCAGAGCGTCCACGTTCCCGATCTGAATACGGTTGTTGAATTTTTGTCCAAATATAATGTGGGAGTTTGTTGGATTGGTGAGGTTGGCCTGAATATCTGGACTGCAATTCGAAAGTAACTCGATTTTGTTCTAAACGTTTAGCTGATATCAGATTTCAAGCATTCGGCCTTGCCGAAAAATGCACACTTGCTGACTGACAGCGTAAATAAGTGATATGCTAACGAGTAAAAATGAATTGAATAGCAAGCATCTTGAAACTACCAAGATATTTTATAGGACCAAAAAACTTCGCGCAAAAATAAGCAAAGTTGCCGTGAAGGATGACAAGACATGTACACTAATTTATTTTGTCATGTTCTATATACGAACGACCAAAAATGAATCAAAAAAAGTTTTTTTTGTTACAATCTGCTAAATGATGTCCAAGCTTAGAGTTTATAGTTTACGCAGTTGCATCCTTCCCCAAAACACTGCGTTCTAGTGAAATCACGAGGATGTGTTTCAAGTACATTTAGAGTTTGTCACCATTTGGAGCGGTGGCATGAAAGGCGCATCCCGCAACCGGTAAGACGTATGTTTTCTTTCAAATTTTCAAGATGTCTATATATTTATCAATGACTGCCATCCTTCGTCTATAAATTAGCATCCTGTCTTCCAAAGATATTGCATTCAGATATGTTGCAAAGTGAACGAAGTGTTCGTAGAACGTCTAGTTCTTATGTATTTTTCAGTGAGGCTCCAACGCAATTATGTGGTTCCTTATATTAACATTCTTATATACAAGTTTATAACCTAGTACTATTTGAAGAACAAATCATGTAGGCTAGTTGTTTAGACACAAGTTCACGGAGCCTAAAGCTAAAAGCAAAAGAGACTTTTGCAAAAGCAAGTTTTCTTGCTAAAATGTATGAAGACGTGCTTTTCTTAGCTCATTTCTGTACGACCGTTAATTGTTGCTGTCGCCATGGGCGCGGCTTTTCGCGGAGCGGACAATGAGATCTTGCCCGTTTAAAATTCCGAGCACAGTCGCGGACACTTAAATACGTTAGCATTTTTCATTTGGTTCCATCTAAAAACACCAATGGAGATGAATAAAGAAATCAATAGAACGGTACACGCTACAGATTCAAATACTGCTCTCATAGTTTGTCCTTGAAAATTTATTAGTCCCTTCATTAGTAAGCTCGACAAAGAGTCAATTTCGCTTGCAAACAGTTCAGCGAAGATGTATTACGACATAGATCTTCTAGATGAAATATTTACTAGTAATTGTCGTGCGGTACCTCTCGAACGCCCACATTTCCTGCTTTTGATTGAAACCCCTGACTGCACATATTTTATATTCCAATTTATCGTGCAGTGTGCTATTGTAAATTTGTTTCATTCTTTAGAATTACATCACGTATCGGGGTTACCTTTGGGTGCTGAGTTAAACATAAATAACAGCAGTTCTTTATGAATGAATCTTGTTACTTCTTCTATGAAGAAGAGTGACGGGGTGATCAAAGTGATACGGTGCGGACTTAAATTGCTTCTCAATACTGTGAGCCTAAGTGACCTTGTACAACTTTAATACCAAAGCCAAAAGTTATTGAAATAAATCTCCCATATATTGCAAGTAACACAATATCTTTACCCTCACTTTATTTAAGTTCTCCCCGATGCGATGTGAGCTTTCTGGGCAGACTGAGAAAAAGTTGACATTTATTAAAATATGAAAAATAGTGAAGAAACATGGAGATGTTACTTACTAATTACATGAATTAGCAGAAATACTTCATTATATTCAGGCCTTTATATAGAAAGTCACTCCTGCACAATGCAAATGCCACCATAAAAACTTATTTGTGCACATTTTTGTGAGGTATTGCTTGCCTGACAAACGCCCTTGCCGTTCGTTTCCGTGCACAAGACTTGGGTGCCAGTGAACACATCCTGCTGCACCAATGGGTTGAAGGACGGTTTGCACTTTCGAAAAGGCAAGAATTTCGTCTCGAGGTAGCGAAGCCTATCCGTGCTCTTGCCACCTGCAACGAGAGCAACACTATTTAGACTTGCAGATGTTCCAAGTTACTTGCGCGTAATTAGAGGCGCGAACAACGAGCGACTCCCTTGTTTCTCCAGAATTCTTTAAATATGCGAGTCGCAGAACTCGTCGTAGGCCCCATGTATCAAAAGATGGACCCGCTATAGGCGGAAATCGCGGAGTCTGCAGACTGCCGCGCCATGTGCTGACAAGCAAACTAAAGTAATAAACGGTTGCAAAACCTGGATGCTGCGTGCTTGTTAATATTGCGAAATTTTTCATGCGCCTCATTATTCAGAGTTCGGACACGTCCTTGGCCGAAATCATGAAGGTCTGCAGATCGTCGCACCATCTGTTGAGAAAAAAACTAATGAACGCTCATGGCGGCTTCATTGCTACGTGCGCAGCGTTCACCAGCTTACGAGGAGAGCACATAGATGTGGCGCCACGGCAATCTATCGTTTCATATTCTTGCATGAAGATGGCGCACTAATCAGCAGATCACCCAGAGAATAAGTCATGCGAGTCTCCGGGTTTCAAAACGTGGTTTCGCAACTGGCATGATTGAACAACTCTGTTGTTTCTCCTGCTTAGCCCCTTACGTGGTTAGCCCCTTTCAAGCACTCATTGCCATGTGAAATCATCGAAGTACAGAAGAATGCAGTGTCAAGAGATAAAAAATGTGAGCACTCCGAATGTGTTATTCTCAAATAATGAAGTCAAGAAACTTTCTGAAGATAAATCTTGTTAAACGAGGTTATCCGCCACTCGACGCATGTGGCATTGATGTCTTACATCGATATCATTGAGTGTAGATTGCATCGATATCTCTCCTTCTTTTTTTTTCTTTTTGTGTTAATGTCAAGAACTGATACCTTGATATGTATTTACATTATTCGCTGCAAGGCTTCGAGGAGTCCTGGGTAACCCAACACCCAGCGCAGCTGATGCATCTGAGGAACAGTGCTAGTTAAATATACGTAACGATGCCGGGCACGAATAACAATAAAAAAAGGTAGTAGGGTGTTCCGTATATTTTGGCATCTGTATAAGTGTTCCAGTAGCTTTAGAGCTGTTGTATTCTTCGTAAGCACTCCGAAGTATGGGGCGCTGAGTATTCATTCAAAACAGTAAGCACAATGAGATGTTTTGTATACTAAAAAGAAATTAAGGGACAAATACCTTCTGTGACTTTTCCCCAACCGGAAGCGAATGCTTTCTTGTTGACGAGTTGCAATCGCCGCAAAGGTAAACAGATTGGTTTGACGAACTTGTCAAAGAGGAGTGGCTGAGCCAACTGAAAGAGACGGAGGGAATAACAGATATGAACAGCTTCGTGTTACTACTCAGAGTAGTAAGATATATATCAATAACGCCAAAGAATAGACCGGGTATAGGTCATAATTTTACTCAAACAATTGTGGGTTTTATAAGCTTTCCACTAGTATATAAGGCTTGAACGCTCAAGAACCTCTAAAAGTTAACATTACTAACCAAAACGCAGTGCCCAGTGGGCAAGTGTTCTCCTATGCACACGTCTACAAATATTACAGGACAGAAATGTGCGTAACTATTGGTTACACTGGCTGTTCATTTAGTGCTTACTGAGCTCACAGCAGAGTACTACTTTCTCTAAAGTGCCGTTTCGTTTTCTCAGGTATAATGAATGCAGAAAACACAAAAGTGAGCTAGTTGCTGCTGATTCTTCCTCATAAATTACAAGAGTTAAAACTAGATAGAAAACAATGAGCTCGCGTTGGGCCGTTTTTTCTTCGTGTTGTCTTAGGGCTTGTAATTTGACTGAAAGAGTGCGCAAACTTTCCGGAGCGGAGAGACAAAAAAGTATATCGCTCCGCCACCAGCCCTCCTTTTTCCGAAAGAGCTATAACGCATATAATATGCCACGACATCGACGCCAATGAGCATGGGTAATATTTGCAGATTAGAGGTGCATGTGCGTACTTACCTTCACAAGGGCGATGTCATTCGCAATTGTGGTCATGCTAAAGCGGGGATGCCGTATGACATCTTTGGCCGAAGCAATTGGTCCTTCCTCTAAGTACGTGCTGTTGTACCTCACGTCAATGGAATAAGGGCGTTGATATCTTTGAAAAATCAAGAACATACATCCTACTTCAAGGCGCAGGTACTCTCCGTACCTACACTGTCATCAAACAAAACTATGATCGTTACTTAGTATATAAAAGTACAGAGTGCACAAACGAGTGCTTTCGAAAATATCACGTTAAGTGGTTCCACACTGGGTGGTTGTAGTAAGCCGAGGGAATTCTTCTTTCAGTTCTTGAATACGCGAGGTGCTACGCCACAAAAAGGTACACTGTCGTTAAAAGGTACTGTCTCAGAACACGACCCCAAGCGGCTATATGGGCTACATTGAGTTACGTCGCGAAGTAAACTGTACTTTGTCATCGTCACTTAGTGTGTAAGACTTAACTCAAACTCAAGGTAAACGTGACGTGAAGCTAACATTTTTGGAGTAAAATAAATTTGCGTAAGCACGCTAACTTGTGTCATCATTATATGCGGGAACAGAATATCATTTAAGATATCTTTTTTTGTTGACATATGCTATGTTGTAAACGAATAGAACCCGACAATACTTTTTAACAGCATGTGTAAACGCTCTGGGTGTATTTCTAAACTGTATTTTCGTCATACTTTTCATGTTTAAGCAAACTCACAAGCTACATGCCGGCTCTAGGAGGAAGACTATATAATTCAGTGTGGGGCAAGTATTTGGAGATTGTTTTGCAAGGCGTGATAAACATGGTCTTGTGGTTCAGCGAGCTGAATGACCCGTGATGTCTGCACATATTAAAATGAAATCTCGTTGATTCCTCCGTCGTATGGGGGTCGGTATAACACGAAACTAAAACTCGTCGTTACAGAAGTCGTTGAATGTTTGCCACACAGTGTTACAAGATAGCTTTCAAAATGTGTTGTTTGGCAGCTGCAGCACCGTTTAACGTAGGTACTTTCACACTGAGCTGGCTGCAACATCTCTATTTCGTCGACTAACGTTCATATATAACTATGAGGCAACATCGTGCATTAACTGTAGCTGCAGACAGTCAGAGCGTAATCAGAGAAAGCAATGTGAGAGCCAGAAAAGCATAACTGGTCGTACGGAGAACTTCGGCTAAGGTCTTCATTTCGCCACGTGTTAAAGGCCAACTTTAGCAATTTTTCGAAGTCAGTGAATTTCAGTGAAACTCTGAGTGTGTTCCTTTGCACATTCCTGTCATTTATTCAAAATTACAGGCTTCGGAGATGCGCTGATTGTTTGCGAATCAATTTTAAATATTGCCTCGAAATGCTAACCTGCCTTGCCAGAATTATTGGCAACACTGTCTCTGCGATGTCATGTTTGGCATGTCAACAGAAGTGACGCAGCCGATGGCAGAGCTACTTCAGCCGCTACTCCATTTATTGTGCTGGCGACAAGGCGACGGAGCCGGTGGATGGCACGGAAACGCTTCCTTCCGTCCCCTGTGGTGTTCGGCCGGCGCTCCGCTTGTCTGGCTTTCAGTTTTCAGACTCTGCGCAGGCGGGACCGGTATACGACTTGCGGTTGTTACCAAGTATTCTGTCATACGTAGACAGTGCGCCAGGTGGCGTTTCAGTTTTGGTATTGCACCTTTTTGCTTATTTAAAACTATTTTCAAATTTTTTGAGAATTTCAGATATTGGGCTCGTGACAAGAGTGCCTCAGGAACATAGAAACGCCATTTCCTTGACATGGTCAATGACATAGTCAACGCAATGCAAGTCAGGCCTCCCCGTAGCCAGTGTGTCATATTCTCGGGGAGCTGAAGCGTGAAACATGGCGTACCAGCCACGAAAGGTAGGTGGTGGTGGTGGTGTTGTAGCAGGCGGGGTTAGCCCATGGCCTGCACGGCCGGCAATTGTTCCGCCTGAGCATCTCCTGAATTTCGAAAATGTCACCACGTGTCAGACAGCCCAGTGTCTCTCAGGAAGACCAACAAAGTTCGTTGCACGTTCCTCCTAGTTGCCGCGGGTCCTTCAGGAAAGATGATGTCATCAACTGTCCGGTGCCTATGACAGCCTTTTCGCAAGGTGCGGATCATCGCTGCTCTTTGCGCATCAAACTGTGGGCAAAGCCAAATGAAATGTTCAATATCCACGATGCCACCACAGAAGGCACAGAACGGGGAAGCGTATCTCCCAGTCTTGAATGACCAGGCCGGGGTGTATGCGGAGCTGGTTCTAATGCGGTACAACAGCGTCGCTTCTTCACGAGAAAGTCCATGAATTACACATGCTTGGTGTGGAAACTTGTAGATCGCCTTGAAATGATTGCGTATCACATCTTTGTTGTTCTGGTAAGTCTTGGGAGTTCTTACTTTTAGAAACGATGTACGTGCTTCGCATGCAAGGGCATCACCCTTTTCATTGCCCTCAATGCCAACGTGGGATGGGATCCACTGGAACCTTATAATAAAACTCTTGCCATTTAGCTGTTTGATTAGTGCCAGAGATTGCCTGGTGAGCTTTTCTTGAGGTAGGCCACGATGCAGTCTTTGTAGCGCCGATTTGGAGTCCATCAGCACTACAACATCTCGTGCAGAAAAGGATCGCAGTTATCGCGAAGCCGCCGTAATTGCAGCGCTTTCTACCGTTGTGGATGAAACCACGCGATCCAGGTGGTCCGACAATGACACGCCCAGGCTGGGTATCCAGAAAGCCGCTGCGCAGCTATCCGTTTGTGTGCACACTGATCCGTCGGTGTACACTTGTAGGTGGCCGCGGTACATGGTGCTCAAGTGGTCCAGCGCAAGAAATTTTGCTTCCGCGGCTGGAATGGTGCGCTTCGCTGGTAGATTGGGTACGCTGAAGTTGCACGCAACATCCACAAAAGACCATGGCGGGTCCATAGGGCGCCGTTTAGGCAGTTTCAAGCCTAAATATTGAAATGTGTTTAGTGCCGCGTTGAAATGTGAGCCAGTTCTTGCTCTTAGCCGCCGGAAAAGCGCCGTGCCTGCGAAGGACTCGCCCAGTCTTGACAGCTGCGTCAATAAGGCCTGAGACGCCAAAAGGCGGAGCGGAAGAGACACGGCTTCATTGGTGACCTTCGTGTTTGAAGCCGCCTGAGGGACTCCCATTGCCAAGCGAAGACCCTTTCTGTGCACTGCCTCTAGGCGTTCGAACTGGCTTGGTGATGGTGATATCAGGGGCAGCTGATAAAGAATGCGGCTTGTTATAAGCGCATCATTCAATTTAAGCATGGACATAGGATTGTTGCCCCAACGGACCCCTGCCATGCGACGAAGAGCGTTGATCCTTTGCACTGATGCAGTGACTATACCATCAACCGCACGTCGCCATAATAGCTTGTTGTCGATGGTAATGCCCAGGAAACGAACACTTGTTGCACAACGAATTGAGTGGCCTCGAATATTCAGCGACAGACGTGTTGACTTCCATCGCACTCCCGGGAAGAGCATGAAGGCCGACTTTTCCGCTGATAAAGATAGGCCTAGTGTCAACAAGTGACGCTCAATGATTGAAATAGCGCTCTGTGCTATCCGGGCCAAACGTTTGTGCTGGTACCCTGAGATCCAAATGCAGATGTCATCGGCATAGATGGATATTTTAACTGCTTTCAGAGCTGCGTGCAGAGTGTCGCGAAGCCTGGCCCTGGCAGCGTTAAAAAGCAAGGGAGATAGAGCACTTCCTTGTGGGACGCCGAGGGAAACGCGTCTCTCTTCGCTCGTTACATTTCGAAGCTTAACACGGACACAGCTGTCTCTGAGAAATTCATGTACGAACCGAAGAGCATTTCCCGACACACCCATGGCTTGGAGCCCGTTCACGATGCCTGCCTGAAGCACACAATCATATTTCTTGGCAACGTCGATGAAGACGGCGAGTGTCGAGAGTCCGCTGACGTGGTGGTGCTCGATGTGGCTTAATAGGTCCAAAACACTATCCTGGGCATTCAGTCGTGGGCGAAATCCAGTCATACACGATGGCCATCGTCTTCCTTGTTCAAGGTACCAAGTTAATCTTGTACATATTAATCTTTCCATCAACTTAGATACGCATGATGTAAGAGATACCGGTCGATATGACGCGAGGCTCGCTGGATCCTTTCCGGACTTTACGACTGGCTCCACCCATGCTGTCTTCCAAACAAATGGGATCTCTCCCGTGCTCCAGACATGATTAAATATGTCCAAAAGGGCCCTTTTGCGCTCATATGGTAGATTTGTCAGCATTTGATTGCTCATCAAATCGGGACCCACGGCACAGCGTCTTCTTAATTTGCTAAGTGCCATATCCAGCTCTCGGAACGTGAATGGCGTATCCATCGTGTGAAAAAACTGGGGTGACAGAGGAATCGCCGCTCCTGCTGATCTACCAGGTATGTACACGTCTGCGAAATCCTCTGCAAGGGTTTGCAAATCTATCCCTTGTTTCAAAGCGAGTGCTTCGAATGGCCTGTGTGTTCGGATCTTCCCAGAAAGACTATTTATCACTGCCCATATCTTTGTCAAGGGCGTAAACGTTGATAAACTCTCACAGAAAGCGGCCCATTGATTTCGTCTTAATTTTTTGTATGGCGACGAACCGCAGCGTTTATCCTGGTATATTCGGTTTTCGCAGACAGATTTCCTTTTGTTCTCATTAATTTCTGCTCCGCTCGTCTACGTGCTGCGCAGAGGTTCTTCAATTTCAAGTCAGGAGCAGGAAAATGATCGGGCAGTTTCAGCAATGAAGTTGCTGATCGCTTGCTTTGCAACATATCTGCGAACAGCTCACAAGTGGATTTGTCCAACACTTCTCTGTAGGCGTCCCCGCGTGTTACATTGCAGAATTGTCGACCAGCAGTTCGAAATCCCAGGATATTGGTGAAGATGGGGAAATGGTCGCTGCCCATCTTGTCTGGAGCCGTGGTAGATGATACCAGAAGGTCCGTGGAGTGAAGTACAAGGTCTATTGCACTCCATGAATCTGGTG